CTCCTGGGTTCAGGTGATTCTTCCAGCTCAGTTTCCCAAGTAGCTGGGATTATAGGCACATGCCACCACGCCTATATTTAAAAATTTTTTTTTGTAGAGATAAGCTCTCATTTGTTGTCTAGGCTGGTCTCAAACTCCTGGGCTCAAGTAGTCCTCCTGCTTCAGATTCTCAAAGTACTGGGATTACAGGTGTGAGCTACCATGCCTGGCCTGGATCACATTTTCTTATTTCTTTGTATGTCTAGATTTTTTTTTTTGAGTTGGAGTCTCACTCTGTAATCCAGTCTGGAGTGCAGTGGCCACTCCCAGCCATCGCAGCCTCAACCTGCTGGGCTCTAGCAATCCTTCGCCTCAGCCTTCCAAGTAGCTGGAACTGCAGGTGCGCGCTACCACGCCCGGCTAATTTTTGATTTATTGTGGAGAGGTCTCGCCTGCCCAGGTGGGTCTCGAACCTGCAGGATCAGGCAATCCACTCACCTCAGCCTCCCAAAGGCACGGGATTACAGGCTGAGCCACCGAGCCCAGCTTGTCTAGATATTTTTAATTGAACACTGGACATTGTAAATTATATGTTTTAGACTCTGGATTCTGTTATCTTCCCTGAAAAGTGATGATTCTTGTTTCAGCAGGCACTTCAGTTACTGAGTGGCCACCTAAACTTGTAGATGCTTGATTTGTTTTTTCTTTAAAGACAGTTGCACTTTAATGCAGCGAGAAGGCATTGCACTACAATGCTTAGATCTTAAAACTAAGCAGAAAAATGATGCTTGGTTTTATACTTTGTTAGTTCATGTCTATAGAAAGCCTACGAAGTTTTACAGGCCCTAACTTGGCAGGATTTAATATTCATATTCTGTTTTCCCTGACAATCTTGTCAAGCCTTGATTTTAGGCTTTGTTAGGGCAGGTATAGAGTAGGTCTTATTATAGGACATGGTGTTTATTCCTAAGGTGCAGCCTTTCTAATATTCCAGCAGATGCTGCAATCGTTAGAGATTTCCACCTTTGCAGGCTCAGAAATCCAGTGTCCCTTAGCACTGCTCATGCCAGCAGTTCTTGATCTCTGCTATCTCTATACTGTTTTCAACCCTGTGGCAACTGCTATCTAGTAAGCATTAGGTGGTCTTGCTCTGAGGATATAGAGGCTAGTGTCAGACATGGACTTATGGGAACCTCTATATGAATTATTTCTGGGGCTGCTTCTCTGAACAGCTCCCTCTGCTCTTGTTCCCCAACCTCAGAGATTCCAAATGTTTCAGCTGCTCTCCACCATGATCTCTTGCCTTCTCAGCTCAGCAGAACCACTGTGCTCTGCTCTGACTCCAGCCTCTTTGAACTTTAGGAAGCTGGGTGATTGGTGGGGGGGGGGGGGGGGGCGGCACTCACTGCCTGTTTCCCTTCTGTCAGATATGGTAGTCTTGTGCTGGTTGAAAATAATTGTCTAGTATATCCTGCCCAATTTTATAGTTGCCATTAATCCAAGAGGGCTACTCAAGTTACTCCATCATAGCCAGAAGCAGAAATCTCCCTTCCCTTCCCTCAGATTTTCTGAATCAAAACTAAAGGAAAAGAGAGCAGCCTCTCTTAGGTAGCAAAACTAAGAAAATATGATCTGTTGCAAGCCAAGGTTAGAACTTTGAAACTTTGACAAGGGAAGCTGGTCTGAGACATTTGGCAGTAGCAAAAAACAGAAATGGGAATTGGCGAGGCAAAGTTTTGGCAACGTTCAAGTCCTTGTTTCAGTTGTCTTTAAGCCCAGGGGCCTCCTACCCTTTATGCAGTTTTCTGTTTTTTTTTTCTTGAGTTGGAGTCTCACTCTGTCGCCCAGACTGGAGTGCAGTGGCCGCT